CGTAAATGTCAGAATCAAGTTGGTTCTAGCTTAGTGAAAGATTGTAGTAAGCAGTAATGTCTTATCTGTATGAAATGTAAAGAATGTAAACAAGGACAGAACTGTCCTTATTTAACCTCGATAGGCAGCCATTAGTGCAAAAGAACAAACTGAAGACTTTGTTATGTAAGGAAGCACAACATGATTAAGTATGATATTGTATGGACACCTTATGTGCAAATAAGTGTTTCCTGCTATACACAAAGATGTTACATTTCTTCACATGATTGTAGTACACTACAGAGCCATTTGTTTTTACCGCAAGGATCAGTCTTTACAATCAATATCATTTTGTGTATAGTAATGCATTGCTTTTAGGCGTAACCTCTAAGTTATATTATGCAATTCCTAAGGCCTAACAGCTAAGTACAAAATTTACACTGCTCAGCCTCAAAGCACAACCGTAAAAAAAGAAGTGGTACTCAACACTGCTGAGCTCATTTCTCTGTCACTTTGCTCTCTCCTCCTGTATCAGCATGCTCTTTGCATTGCAGCACACCTGAGTGGCTCATTAGGCTGCTTCTCTTTCCCTCTCTCTGAGCTCTGTTGTACAGACTGTACAGTAGACTGCACAATGCTAAAACCAAATCATATTCAGGTACTTACTAGGGTTGCCACCCGTCCAGGATTCACCCGAACAGTCCGGGTTTGGAATCCTGTGCCCGGGTGTGAGGCCACCTCACACACTGGCACATAATTCAAACCGGACTTGTGACTAATACCTCACAGTGGTGTGTGGCGCTGTATATGGTCCCTCGTCTCTCCCGCCCTCTGTTTCTCCTCCGATCTTGTGACTGGGTAGGAGGAAGTGACATCAGGGAGAGAGAGCACAGAGGGAGAAGTCATCCTCCGGCCGTCGTGGAGCTCTTTTGTCTGGGACTGAATCTTAATCAACAGGTATTTATTAATTTTTTTAAATATAAACGGAAAAAGAGTGTGTCTGTGTGTGTGTGTGGGGAGGGGGGGTTGAGGGGGATTAGTATAACATTTCACTACATGTAGAATGTAAATATAAAAGACGTGCCTTCTATAAGTATCAAAATGATCCCAATAGAGATAATGATATGCAAAACAATACTAAAAATGAATAAATAAATAAAAACATTTAATGAATATGTTTCTCTAATCATTAAAATTCATGAAAATATCAGTGAACTCTTAAAGTGCATTACATGTGACCATTATTATTCCAATTAATATAGAACATCCGTGCAATGTGTAAAAAAAAGAGCATGCAGCATTTTTTTGCATTCGCAGTGGAATGTTTTGCCACCCATCTGATTGCACTGCAGCCCACTGCGGGGGGCTTGGCTGAGGTGCCATTGACTTCAATGCACCTCTACACCCCCTCCCGCCCCAGAACAAAGGGGGAAGTTTAGTGTGCCATTGCTGTGTTCCAGATGTTACCACTCTGGAACACACTGCAATTGGTGTGAACAAGCCCTGATGCTTTTTATACATTGCACGGATGTTCTATATTAATTGGAATAATAATGGTCACATTTAATGTACTTTAAGAGTTCACAGATGTTTTCATGAATTTTGAAGATTAGAGTAACATATTCATGAATTGGGATTGTTTTGATGCTTATAGAAGGCACGTCTTTTATATTTACTTTTGCACTTGAATTTATACATATATAGTAGTTAGATTTTGTGAATATTTAGTGCTGTGCATAAAAGTTTACACATCATTGAAGAGTGAATACGCTCAGAGCATAGCAGCTTAATATTTCCATTTAGTTATAAGAACCCTGAACGCAGAATATTGTTTTAATAATAACATGTAGAATGTAATTGTCTACATGAGATTTTAACACTGTGCAGAAATCTCTGGCGGTCTAAAGGCTGTGACACACTGCACGCGAAGCAGCAGCTGCCTTCACGTGCAGTGTGTCATGTTATTGCCACCCTGGCACGTCAGCTTGCGAGAGCTCGCATAGCTAAGCGTGCTGAGATAAAAAATTTCATCTTCAGCCAATCGGCTCCTGCGTATAAACCTGTGTGTCATAATGCAAAGTCCATTCGGTTGTTATTGTCTGAAGATGCAGTCCTTCATCTGAAAAGTTGTGATTAACGCCATATGATTTGTGATACATTGTGATTAACTCCAATGTTATTTAATTACAAAATACTGTATATGCATAGTGTATACTTTACAAAACAATGGCTGTCAAAGTACCGCAGCGCTGAATACTGAAAAATGGCCTGGATGGGAAGGGGGTTTAACACCGCGGATGTCAACTGGTTAATGGTCACATTCGTCGTTTTTTAACGTATGCGCCCCCGACGCATGTTTGCATGTGTATGTATGGGTGGGGACTTTAAAACATTTTTTTTTTTTAAACTTTACATTTTGGGGGGGGGGGGGCCTAATTTGTTTTTGCTATTTTTTTCCCCACTAAACGTTATTGCTATCACATACGGGGGCTAATAAAACCTCCCCTATGGGATAGCAAAATATGTGACAGGTCAAATACCGCTTAATACATACACAGTAGGTTCATTGATTGTATCAACAGACAACATATTTCTGCATATTTCATCCGAAAGATGGTGAGAAAGTCCAACTAAAAGTGCTGTTATAATTTCTGATATAAACAAATATTCAGCAAATGAACAGATATTATCTTTCCGTGCTGATATTCATCTGCACAATTCTCCCCCGTCCTGTGCCGAATTTGGTTGTTCCATAGTTCATTATGAGTGGAGTATTGATGGACCTGTGCAGCTGTATTGTGCTGACACATTGAAAATTGATACAGGTTCTTGTTGGCCTAGGTTTGTCTCTTAAAGGAGAACTATGGGGTCAGTGTTTTTCCCCATAGTTCTCCTTAGGGTAACGGGAGGACACAAACTAGCGTCCTCCCGTTACCCTAAGCTCAGTATACCGCGACGTCGGGATCCGCATCTGGAGCGGATCCCGACGTAGATGACGGGATCCGCCCAGCTGAGTGAGTGACAGCTTGCTCTGCCTACCTAGAGGCAGAGCCAGCTGTACCCGCCCCCTCCCCCGTCCGTTCCGCCAGTCAGCGCTGGCAGATCGGAGCGGGGAGAGGGGAATCCAGCCCCTCCCCCTGTCACGGCAGAGAGCCGTGACAGGATCGAGAGGTGAGGGAACCCGGTATGTGTTCCCTCACCTCCCGATCTACTGAGCCGACCTGTGACAGTCTCATTGTCACAGGTCGGCTTAGAACTATGAGGTGAGTGGAAATCACTCATCTCATAGTTCTCCTTTAAAGCAAATGTAAAATATAAAGTCATGTCATTAAAGGTAAAGTCCACTTTTTTGAAAAAAATATAAATGCACACTTCTTCATAAAAGAGAAACATTGTACATTGTACATTTATTTAACCCCTTGAAGACCAGGTGTTAAACCACCTCCCTGGCCAGGCCATTTTTCAGTATAAAGCGCTGCAGTACTTTGACTGACATTTATTCCGTCATGCAACGCTGTAATGAAACAAATTTTATACCATTTTTTTGGGACAGATAGAGCTTTCTTTTGGTGGTATTTAATCACCACTATGAGTTTTTGTTTTTTACTATATAACAAAAAAGTACCCTAAATTTTGAAAAAAAACCCTGTTTTCCTTTGAAATATTATAAAACATTTATTATCACCCCAATTTTTTTGTAAAATTGAAAACGACCACACTCAAAATTGGCCATATGCGACGCTTTAAAAGCTTTTACCGCTCATCATTTTAGTGTTGTTTAGTGTTATTAGGGGTCTCCAAGCCCCCTAATGTCACCTAGGGACCCCCAGAGAAGCTGATGAAGCAGAGATCTGCGTCATCAGCTTCTCACCGGCATCTGTAACCGCAGAGTGACACTGAATGCAGGACGTTTTCGTGATGATGTGAATGCAGGAAGCATCGTCGTGCCGGTCCCAGCCTCATCGAGCACAGCAGATCTTGGGACCGGCAGGTGGGGGGGCGCACACCCACAGTTACTACAAGCGATCGGGCGTCTCTAGAGACGCCCGATCGCTTGAATGTAAACAGCCATTCCTGGCTGTTTACATTGCTGACAGTTTCCCCACTCGTGTGCGCCCTAAGCGCCGCCCATGAGTGGGCGTGGGGCAGGACGTCTTAAGATGCCCTCCCGCTCCTCTAAGGCACCCGTCTCCCGTTCACGAATGGCCATGGGCGGGAGGTGGTTAAGAAAAGCATTGCAACCACGATCAGTGGATCATGGGTGCAATGCCCTGTAAGTGGCTAACGAGACCTGTAGCTTCTCCATTCACAAATCCTGTCAAAGGATCTGTGAATAGATGACGTGGCTGTGTGGGGGGAGCCACGCACAGCTAAGCCAAATTAAAAAAAGAGCAGTAGCCTGCAGAAAGAAGAACCCCATGATTCATGTAAGTGTGTGTGGGGGGGATGCGATGTGACCATTTTTCATGAATATGGGTGTAACATGAAACATAGTCTCAAAGGTCTAAAAGCTGAAATGAATGTGAATGTATCTAAACGTCAGCACTAGTGACAGCTATACCTGAGACTACTGAACCCACTTCTTAACTATGATATATTCAATTTAAATGTGATATATAAATCCAAACATGACATTTTAACACATAACCAGTATTTCAGATCCCCCTTCTATACCTAACCCCTAGCTGCTGTGATCTCCAACAGTCAAAATTTAAATGTGTCTTTTTGAGACAGCACTCTGATCTTACATATTCTCAGAAATGAGAGATTCTCATAGTGTAGTAAAAACATTATACTTATTAAAATAAGATACAAACTCCTCACAGTACTCCTACTCTGAGCACCTTTTAGAATACTTAAAGTATATTTCCACTTTTGCAGTCAAATTTGAGAAACCCCTTCTATGTGTTTGTTATGTGTATCTATTCACACAGCATACCGAAAAATATATTTTTCCTTTTAGATGTTTTGTTGCAGTAGGCAACATGGCTGATTCCAGGTTTTTCTCAGCCCCTTCACACAGATCTGCCCTTAAAGAAAGACTTAGGACTGAAGTTTGAAGATTGTGTTTCTCTCAAGAACTTCATTAACATACAATGAAGAAGCCCCTCACCCCTCATAACATTACAAAAGAAGGAAAAGCCAAATAGATTTTTTTAACTCTTAAGAAGTCAAGACATCCTAACCCAAGTAAAAACTATTTAAATTGCATGAAGCATTTAACATTTTTTTTTTAGCTTATGCTATGTAAATGGGAACATGGTAACAAATACAAAAAAGGTGTTATCCTAACTTGGCTGTAAAGTGGAGATATACTTTAAAACACACACCCCGATTCCAGTGCAGTGGCACATATCACATTGTCACCGTTCTGACGTTACTCTTTTTGCTCAGTGTGTTTCGTCTTTCCTGCATTGTCAAGACCTGAAAGAGTAAACCTGTACACTGTTTAGGGCTCAGTCACACCATATCCAGTGCGTTCTGGCACTGTCCGACCCCGGAACACACTAGATTGCATAGATCAGGCCACGCAGCGATGTGGGGCAGGAAAGGGCGTGGCGGTGAAATGGCACTGCAGGCATGCCCCCCACGCACTGTGCGATCACCCTCACCGGAACGATGTTCCAGTGCAGTGCAATAAAAAAAAATGTTGCATGCAGTCATGCAGGGGTTGCGATTCCACAGATATTGTTTGTACTTTTACTGTTACCTTATTATGTGGGCAGACATTTAGACTGAAATGTACAACTTCTTGCTCTCCTGTTTTGTCTTGTATTTTGACTAATAAAATCTCAATGGGGAAAAAAAGAACCTCTTCCGTGTTTTTTTATTGTATCTATCTGACAGAATTGAAGTATTGATGGATCGCACACAGGGGACTAACTAGAAATTACAGGGTCCCATAGCAAAATGTTGTATGGGGCACTGTGATTTCTAGGTATTCCCTTACAGAGCCCACCTGATATCCCAAACAGCCCACCTGAGAGTGACCCTGCAGAGCCCTCCATAGACTCTCTACGGTGGGCTCTGCAGAGTCTCTGGTGGGCTGCACAATCTTACCTGTCAGCCCAGATCCGCTGTCGGCCTCCATGGTCGCTGGCAGGCCCCGCCTCCTCCGTCATTGGGCCCCATCTCCTCTGTCACCAGGCCCCACCTCCTCTTCCGTCGTTGGGCCCAGCCTTCCTCCTCCACAGCTGCTGGCTGTCACTGACACAGCAGTTGCTGTGAGGAGGAACGCGCCGATGCACAGATCACTGACAGGTTGTCGGTGATCTAACAGCGCCATCACACCCGCCAGTGACAGCCAGCAGCCTGAGATGCCATAGCGAACCAGACGGCCCGCACGGCATCAGGGGGATGAACTGGCCGGGCCCCTCTGTGCCCCGGGCCCCATAGCGGCCTCCTGGGTCGCTATGTCGATTGTTACGCCACTGATACACACAATAAACATCCATAAAATCCTTTATTATTAAAAAGTGAACATGCGACAAGTTCTGACACATACAAGATATAGTAATCTCCCCATCTCTAATGTACCATTTTTTATGCTATTACACACAATTGTGTGTAACCATTTAGTGCTGAACACTAGAGCTTACCAGGGTCCATGTCAGAATCATGGAGGAATAACAGGCATGCTTTGTGTAATTACAGAAGATGGTAACTTCTTAATCGTTATTTACAAATTCTTACGTCTGCTTTGATGATTTTAGCTTCATGCATGATCTGCACAGCTGTTACAGTGAACAGTGTCATTTTTTTGTGCTAGATTGGATCAGATACTTCATGTAGGAAGCAGATTCTCTCTGACTTAGGAAACAGTGCCAACCCTGGTAAGATTCAGGTCAAAAGGGTGAACCAACCATTTCACCAGCACATATATCAAAGTAAACTGTTTATATACAGTGATTCTTGCTGCAAGTGTTCTAAGGGAACAAGGAAAAATATTTTAATTTCTCCGTTACAACTGATTCAGAGAACAGCGGGGTGTAGCGGTTAGCATTTCTGCCTTACAGCACTGGGTATCCCTGGTTCAAATCCCGGTCAGGTCACAATCTGCAAGGAGTTTACATGTTCTGTGCTAGCATGGGTTTCCTCCGGGTACTGCAGATTCCTCCCACCAGTGACGTGTGGTACCTCTTGCTCCGGGTGAGGCATTCCACAGCCCCTGCTGACCGAAGCCACACCGGCCAAAGCCCCGCCACTGCCAACAGAAGTCATGTCCCCTGCTGGATGAAGCCCCGCCCCCAACCCGTCCCCAAGCTAGTGTAAAGGGGGAAGGGAGGAGCCTCCCTGTCCCTCACTTGCTCCTCACTGCTGAGGCGCTCCGTCCATGACAGGTTACACAGTGGGCAGGATTTCCCTGCTGTGTAACCTGTTAGATGCCTATCTGAATGGAGAAAAAGCTGTCAGCTTCAGACATGAAGCTGACAGCTTTACCCTCCATAATTCTAGGTTAGGCTCTGCCTCACCTGCCTCCCCTGACCGCACGTCCCTGCCTCCCACACTGCAAAAAACCTGCTGGAAAATAATTGGCCTTGTGTACAAGCTTGTAAGCTCCTTCATGATCATATGTAGGGGAATTAAAAAAACAACTTTGCACCTGGAGCATGACTGGATGGCTAGGCTGAACATGTCTTCAGGCATATCTAAACCCAAAGCAAAACTTAATATATTGCAACTTTTTTTAGCTTTCTCCCCTTTATTTTCACCTGGTGATCCAGCCAGTAAGTCTGATTTTTCCCAACTTCCTTAAACAGACCAAGCTGTCCAGCGAACATGGCAGATAAACAGTTGAGACAAACCATATACTACCAACAGGAGTGCTTATTATGGTCAGCGTTTATTCATTTGTGTAAAACCTTTCTCCCAAAAGAAAAAAAAAAGTTGCTGTAACTGTTTAAAAAGTGTTAGCTGGAGTCCATCTAAATCTGCTAGACCATCTAACTACCCTCCCCACAGGATGACAATACTACTGTCCAATGGTGGCTCCATTGCTCCTCTATAGATGTTAATAGCTGGGTGGACCACCTTGTGGAAATAAAGAAAAAATGCCTAAACAAACTAAGGCCGCCACCACATTTAAGGATTGATAAAGCTGCATTATATGACATTTTATGTTTTTCGGGTTTAAATACGCTTTCACTTTATCCACTAAGCTAAATGTATATTTCTACTCCTATAATAAATAAACCCCACAGACTTTTCTGCTAAAGCGACTGTGTTATAAAGATACAGTGAGGGGAATTTATCAAAACCTGGAGCAGACAATATCTGGAGCAGATGTGCATGGCAACCAACCAATCATAAATCATGACCAAGTTTGCCCAGGAAGCACCACAAGCAAGCTTGAACTACTTCAGGGAAGTGAAACACTATGGGGTCTATTCACTAAGCTGCCGAAGGATCTGGCCGTAGCTTCAGCCGATCCTTCGGCTAGCTTTGGCCCCAGGACCCCTTCGGTTCAGTAGAACCGAAGGGGTGCTGTACGGGCTATTCACAATAGCCGGTACAGCTCCCGAACATGGCCGAGCTGAACACACATATGCCGACAGCCTGCTTCTGACAGCTGGGCTCCATCAGGTCCCCGTCTGGTGATTGACAGCAGCAGAGGGCGGGTGCAATAGCTAGTTTATTATTGGCCACCGGCCAATAGAAAACAGTTGGGCAGAGCTAGCTGTCACTGCTAGCTCCGCACAATTGTTTTCTCTTTTTTTTTCTACTTTTTAAACTATTTTTCTGTTCTGCTCGGTCGCACTGAGGGACCGAGCAAAACAGCAGAGCCGAATGCCGCTCAGCGGCATTCGGCTATTTACTCACTGCTGTTCAGCATCTAAAAGAATAGACCGAACAGCAGCGAGTAGCCTTCCGAAGGTTCGGTTTAGCCGATCCAGATGTTGGATCGGCTGAGTCGAATTCCTTCTGCACTTCGGGTCGGCCGAATATGCTGAGCATGTTCGGGCGACCCAAAGCCACCCGATGTACGGCTGATTTCAGCCGATATACGACTGGAATCAGTCGTACCAGCCTGAAGTGAATAGCCGAACAGCGTGAGTCACGGTGAGTCACTCGGCTGCCTACGGCAGCTTAGTGAACAGATCCCAATGACTTTCCTAAGCCCTGCTTCTGCTTGGAAAGTGAAACTAAACTGAACCGTTGAGTGAGAGACATGGAGTGTCTAGATAGGGCTGTACTAACTAGAGACAAACACGGGGAGGGAAAAAGGGGAACACACCAAATACAATAAACAACACAAAAGACAGGCTGCTGTGGCAACATATTGTGTAATATATATATATATATATATATATATATATAACAGCCATAAAAATAACCAAGAATACAAAGTATATTTTATATAAAAAAGCAGTAAAAATATTCACTGTTAGCAAAAATAAAAGATACATTAATCTTAATTCAGTTCAACAAAGTTTATGTGTTTACTGAAAAAATAAGAAAAACTCAAGTTTTTCTGTACAACAGTTAGTGGAGTGGTTAGTGGAAAGTTCTTGGCAATCAATCCTGGTGTCGTACCCTCTGGTGTTGCTAGCCAGTTTAAGCTAACTAGGCAGCAGTGACTAAGAATAGTGGAACAAGAGCATCAACATGAGTCTAATCTCTAAAATGACATAGAACTGTAGGCCAGGCTTTAGGTTCATACAGTGTGAAAAAAAGGTATGGGATATGATACATACAAGTAAGACCCTTGGATTCCGTTTTCCCCCCTTCTTCAGTTGCGACACTGATTCATGCCCAGTAGTTCTGACACTACCCGGATGTGCTGGAGCTTTGCCTAATCAGATCAACCTGGCATTCAGGGAAAGCAGTGGTTATTGAAAGCCCAGGGTGTCTGGACTTCATACTTGTCCACAGCTTTCAGTATTCTTAAAGTGACAGAGTCTCTTTAGGGTTTATCCTTTAAACTAAATATAATATGGGTTGCATGTAAGCAGAAAATCAGCAGATCAGCAGACATACAGGAGAAGTGCTTCACTTTATACTGAACTTTAGCCCATAAACAATGA